GGAGAGAGTTTTCAGTTTTCAATACATGCTGCGTTATTTGGAGAAGCTTAAGAGAGGAATTTAACATTCCTCCTGATAGACAGGAGGCAGATTAAAACTAGCCTGTTGTTTGTGAGTACTACAATCACAGATATGGGCCCCTCTTTGTCAAGTGGCTTCAAATACTAAAATATAATTATTTCCCATTTTACCTAGCTCTGGGAAGCACAGAATCACATGCAAGGAACTAACATACAGCATTCAGGGTTTAGTGGGGTTTAACTAGTCCCCCTACATGTGAGGACTGGCAAAAAACAAATAAATATAGTTAAACCTAAAGCTGAAATCTGGACTTTTTTCTCAGAGGGCATCATCTAGAAAAATATATGTATTACACCTTAAGCCCCACCCCTTATTTACATGATTATGTCTGAAAGCAATGCCTCTTGTTAGCGAACACACCTCTAGCTGGGCAACAGAGCTAAAACACAGTTTTGCGGTTATTATTTTCAAGTTATGCTGTTTATACAGATATTTTAAGACTTACTTGCCCATAAAAGTTCACCAACTCCACATCAGTCTAGGTCTGTCCTCAAACCTGCACGCTGTGATTGACCACGTTTTAGTGGTTCCTCTGTTCCAACACACTTGATTCGGTGGTTGAATCAGCTGTGCAGGATCTCGTCGGGCTCTGCAGAAGCCTATTAATAACCTACTAAACGAAATCAGGTGTGTTGAAGCAGGGTTAAAACCAAAACGTGCTAGATACCAGCCCTCGAGGCCTGGAATTGAATAGCCCTGCAGTACAGGGTAAGACTCGCTTTTACATATTTCTAAAAGATCATGAAAAATTCCATAAAGGGGGAAAACATTGGATTGCTGCCCTCAAGCTTTGCCTTTTGGCTTAGCTCTTTTGCTGCGATGACAGATCTTTGCAGCATTACTCCACCCTCACTGGTGAACAAGACCCTCAGACATGCCAGCTTATGCCCAACATATGATGTCTTCAGTATGGGGACAGACGACCATTCTCTGTGTGGAGTACCTGATGTAGGTCATATGGCACATTTACACTTTCATGTTTTGTGGTTCTTCATCATACACAGCAAATAAAGCTTGTTTTTACCTTTGATGACATGTTTTGTGTCTACTGCCGCCTTCGTCTGAGCAACCACCGGTGTTGGTTCTGTTCGTCTGCAGATGATATCGTCCTCAACTGCCTGCAGATAGGCTCACACACTAAGACATAAGCTGGCTTCTCTACAGTTGCACGTAAGTCTGTGGTGTTCTTTCTAAGTGCCACAAGTTAGTAAACAAAAGCAGGCATGAGCAGTGTTGCTTTTGACATCAAGCACACAGCTTCTTACTCCCTCACTGAGTAGCGGTGGTGTTGTGGGCTCCTCTAATATCCCAGAGTGCTCACAGCAGACGATAAAATATTATTAGGATGAAACTGGGTCTGGCCTGCCAAGTGAAAACTATCATCTGGTTGTTTTGCCACATGAAGACCGATTACATCATTTAGTCTATTTACCCCAACATTCATCTATTCAGAACCTATTAGTAAACAGCACAAGCTGCGCAAGTGACATGCTAGACAAAGGCTTTCCTTCCAGCCTGACCTCATCTGAGCATGAAATGTCACAGACCCAGATTTGTCTGTTCATCCTGTTCGCTGTCAGCGTGGAGCATGCTACACCCATCAGGTTCTGATGGAGTCAGGTCACTGCACAAATCAGTGAGCACAAATAGTCTCTGATTTCCTGTTGCTACAGAGGTACGGTCTCCTCGGAGCTCTTCCACCACCAGCCAACATGATGAAGGAATAGCTGAAGCTTGAATCAGATCTCAGTGTCCCTGTCGGCTTTGTGCAACTTTAGCTTCACATCCAAGATTGACCTGGGTGAAGATCAGGCACTGAAAACTTTTCCTGGACAAAATGCTTTTTCCTTAACAATACTACTTTCAGAAATAAAGATTTCTTTGCTTTATTAACAGTAACGAAAACTTTAGCCACACTTTCAAATGTTAATATTAGTTCATTTGAAGCAAAACATATTTTCAGCTATTTATTTCTATTCCATTAAGTTAATAATTTTTGTTTTGTTTATATAATTATTGTTTGGCTCTTTTCCACACATGCATTAAATGGCATGTTTCCTTACCTTAGCTTGGCACATTTCCACTGTTTGAGGTCTTCCTCTGGGGTGTGATCAAGTGGTGTGTGTACATCAAAGTCATCTAAACTGTCTCACGCCTGCATGCTAGCCCCTGATGAAAACAGACGTGTTTATTTGATTTCAAAAGCTCTTTCACAATGACGAGCATCTCTTTATGCTGCCTCTGACCGTTCAATGTTCATCAAGTGAGCCGGCTATGTCGACATCATCGAACCAAAGGAGCTGTGGAGTATAACACACAGAACACATTTGTCTATTGATCCATCCATTTTTCAATTCATCAATTTTCTTTTACTTATCCAAGGTTGGGAAATGGAGGAAGCAGATCCAGCAGAGAGGCCATGATGTCCCTCTCCTCAGTGATATTTCCAAGCTCCCTCTGGGGGATCCCAAAATTTCCCTAGGCCAGAGAGGATATACAGTATAAGCACATTTAAAATATGGTCTGCTCAGCTTGTGCTGGGTGGACTTTCTGGCATCATCATTCACTGCTGTAGCAGCTGCCATACGCTGATGTCTGTGCAAAGTGCTAAAAGAGCTGAATTAGTATGGAGACACAACAGCTGAGAGGACCGAGTCATCGTATCTCCCAGTCAGTTTCCCCGTCCCTGTCATGGTTTTGGGGACGAGTTTAACCCAAGACATGCAGAATCTCCACTCGCGCACCAAACAGGTAAAAATAAAGTATCTTTATTAAAATAATCGGAAACTGAAGACGCACTGGATAAGGCCCAGTGGATTGCAACGGAACTGCAGCGTCTGAGGAGAGGAGAGCAGAGGAGCAGGTGAGTACAGGGAGGTAAGTCAGAACTAGTTAGGGGCAGAGTTAAGACTTACGGGGAGCTGGGAGCTGAAGAGTTAGGATAGGTGGAGTGCCGGGGTGAATCCAGGAAGGGGGGTGTCCAGGAGAGGGAGCGCGAGGAGAGCAGGAGAGTGGGCCGGCAGAGAGGGAGGAGAACAGTGAGCCCAGAAGATTTATGAAGCACAGGTGAGTTATCCAGCGGAGTTGAGTAATCCAGCGGGACTGTGGAAAGGTAACTGGGGAGCCACAGGAGAACCAGAGGAGCTTCAGATGTCCAAGGAGTATCCTGAGGAGTTACGGTAAGGTCCACAACGATCCAAAAATCCAAGTTGTAGTTAATCATCTGGCGTCGAGTTGTGTTCTCCTCCTCCTCTTATAGCTGGACCCGCTGATTGTCAATGAGCTGCAGCTGGAGCCTCCCTCTCCTGAAACACAGCAGCTCAAAGATGGAAACAATGAGAGGAGTACTCACCCCAGCACACGACACTCCCAGAATTTGCCCTGAAGTTTCAACAATGGTCTTACGCCTTCTGGCAGAGGAGAAGATCCCACCAGATGCCGTATGTCTGAAGCCCAGCCTGGCCTCCCAACAACGTCTTTCGGTCATTTGTATCCGACGTCTCGTTCTGTCAGTCATGATCCACATCTTGTGGCCATAGGCTAGAGCTGAAATGTAGAGGGACCAGTAAATTAAAAGCTTTTGACTCGTCATCACAACAGGCTGGAGGCTCCCTTTCCTGGAGAAGAAACCTTGATCCGATTGTCGGTCTCCTGCTCCATACTGTTCTAGAACAAGACACCAAGATACTTAAACCCCTCCACTTGAAGCAGAGACTCGTTCGCAACCCCGAAGAAGACGTAACTCTAAAGCATGGTTTATACTTCTCCGTCTGCGTTGGTGCAGAGATACATAGCTGTAGCTCACATACCTGGTGCTGCACTCTGGCTGCAGCACGTTTCCTGTATGTTTTAGATAATGAACACAGTTGATTTGTCTAATTTAGGGATGAATTGCTCCTGTAGACACTAAGGAAGGCTGGGGAGATGTTAGATTAAGGTGTTAGAAAGACAAACGCACAGCAAGGAGATAGCTTTTGCTTTTGGTTCTACAAATGGATACTGGGGGTGCAAGCCAAACTGCCTTGTTTTTAAACACAACATGAACACATTAGAGATGTGACTGCAAAGATGGCAGGAAACCCCAGAAAAGGTGCCATGCCCTCTGCTGTCCTGGTGGAAAGCTGACACACCAACGGAGAACTAGAAAAGGAACATTTCTCCATCAATACTTGAGCATCTGAGCTGAAGGAGGTCTAAACTAGGCTTAACTCCCACCCTTGTGTCACTATGACAACTTACCCTTGCACATGTCAGCCACTTTGAATCTGTTACTACCTCAGTTAGGTGTTCAAATCATTGGCAGGGTCAACTCTCCTTTTAAGAATAACAAAGTAATAAAGAAAGCGTCTCAGGCATGACAAAGTGTTTGGCTAACAGGGCTAAAATGTTACAGAGCTACTAGCTAACGAAGTGTTCTTGGCTGGTGTTAAACCCACTGTGTCTGCTCTAACTTCATTATAGATACCAGAGCAGCGATCTACGTGACAGCTCAGAGCATGTGGTGGATGAGAATTTAATCTGTGGATTTAGACACGTTTGTTCCTTTAAGGCTGCCTCATAATTGAACAAATACAATCATGTTCCTACAGATAGTCTTTATATCCATCAGAATCTGTTCTCTCGGCTTTTTCGGCTCATTTCTAAATTTCGGTTACCAGTGTCGAAAAGCTTAAAGGTTTCAGTTGTGTTGTTTACTGCAGCTGCATGAGCACGTCGAGCCTGACTATGTTTGGACCACCACCTGGCTGATGAAGCTTCGCTGGCATTTACTCAGTCCAACATTACCATCACCCTATTTTGGTTTGAGACACATGTGGGGTTATAATGTTCTAATCACTTCATCCTGTCTCTGTTTAATACAGAAAACATGTCTAGATGCAGTTTGTATCTACAAGATTTTGCATCTTTGTCTTTTACAGAAAAGTACCAAGACAGCGATGGAGCTGGGCAGGACATTTGCCTCCCTCTTCTCTGACATCTCCTTCAGACAGAAGCTGCTGGAAACGAAGACGCAGGAAGAGTTTAAGGAGGCTTTGGTGTTCCAAAGGCATCAGCTTACAGCAGCCAACCAGGAGCCTGTAGCTCTGGGGAAGAAGGAGGTGGCCCCTCGCAGTCATAAACCTCTCAAGGTAGGGGACCGATTCTAAATGTCTACAGCTGGGGAAAAACATTTTTTAATTGCCTATCCTAAAATGAGGGCTGACTTTTTTACACAATAATTATGTGAGGTGACACTCAAAAAAATAAATAAATAAATCACCATTCTAAACTTAAAGGAAATTTTTCTTTAAAAAACTATGCAAGAGTGCTTTACAGTAGAATTATGTATTTTTTACAAAGAAAACATGTACAAATTACAGTTTTCACCAATTAGTGCATATATGGTAACTTAACGTAAAATCAATAGTTTCATAGTTGATGGGTTTTTCCTGTCATGGTTTTACGGTTTATCACTGTTGTGAAACCTGTTTATGTGTCCTAGTAATGCTACCATAGGGGGAGCCACTAGAGGTCGCTAGAACACAGGTGTAGGGTTCTTTTTCTTGGTTAAAATTGTATGTGGACACGTTGCTGTGACTTGACAAGAATAAAGCGGTTTGTGCTTGAGAACGCTGCGTCTTATTGCATGAGATCATGACATGGTGTCAGAAGTGAAGACTTCATGCCGAGTTACACGGAGAAATGGCTAAATTTGGACCTCCGGAGCCATTCGACTTTACACAGCCGGCAGAGTGGCCGATATGGCGGCAGAGATTCTCCCGTTTTCGAGTGGCGTCCAAGCTAGGGACGGAGAGCGGCGAAGTGCAGGTGAACTCGCTTCTTTACTCTATGGGGAGAGATGCCGAACCAATATATGGCTCATTTGTGTTTCCTGCTGCTACAGAGGCCAGGCCAAGTCCGCAGTTTGAGTATGATCTGGTTATACAGAAGTTTGACGAGCACTTAGTCCTGAAGAGAAACGTTATCCACGACCGCGCCTGTTTTCACAAACGGAGCCAGAGGGCCGGGGAGATGGTCGAGGCTTTCGTGCGGAGCCTGTATGAACTCGCGCAGCACTGCGAGTTCGGCGGCAGTAAAGACGAGCAGATCCGGGACCGCATCGTTATTGGATTAATTGACAAAGATGTTTCACAAAAACTGCAGCTCGAGGCGGACTTAACTCTGGATAGAGCCATTCAGCTGGCACGCCAGAGTGAACAAGTCAAACAGCAAAGTGCGGAGCATGTGGAAAGCACTGTGAGTGAGGTGAAACAGGCATTATAACAGCGCGAGAAGGAGTAACTACCAACCTCGTCAGGTACGTGAGCAACGATCTAGTGAAAGTAAACCAAAGTGCCAAAGATGCAACAGAGTGCATGACAAAAGAGAAAACTGCCCAGCCCGCAATAAAAGATGCAGAAAGTGCAATAAGTTAGGACACTTTGAAGTTGTATGCAAAACCAAAATGCTAAAAGAGGTCAGGGCTGATACTGTAGAGGATGCATATGAGGATTCATTCTTCATATGGGAGCTTTTCCTGGGAGCAGTGACTGAAAAAAAAAACTACTGAGCAAAAAACTACAGTCATTGAGGAGTCAGCTTCAGATGCCGACTGGGACATTGAGCTGCTGGTAAATGGCAATCCAGTTGATTTCAAGATTGATACGGGCGCAGACACCACTGTTATGGCAGAAACGACCTTTAATAAGCTCCAGCAGAGACCCAACCTTGTCCAGTGTAAGCCAACAGTGTACAGCCCTGGCGGAAAAGTCAGGTGCATGGGTAAATTCCTTGCTACTACAGTGTACAAAGGCCAAAAGTACCAGTACTGGATCACAGTTATAAGAGGGCAATACGCAAGTAACCTACTGGGAAAGACGGTGGCGAAGTGCATGGGACTAGTTGCTCAAACTTGGCATCATTGAGGAAGTCACCGAGCCAACAGACTGGTGTTCACCAATGGTGTCTGCTCCAAAGCGCAACAAGGATGAGGTCAGAGTGTGTGTGGACTTAAAACGTCTGAATAAGGGAGTAAAGCGTGAACGTTACATTTTGCCCACATTGGATGACATCACTCCCAAGTTAGCAGGGGCTAAAGTTTTCTCCACGTTGGATGCCTCTAGTGGGTTTTGGCAAATACCACTGGACCCCAGCTGCCAAAGGTTAACCACGTTTATAACTCCCATGGACAGGTTTTGCTTCAGACGCCTGCCATTTGGCATAACTTCAGCACCCGAGATCTTCCAGCGGCTCATGAGCACCTTGCTCAAGGGCCTCGAGGGGACCGTCGTCGTGATGGACGACATACTGGTTTTCGGGGCTAACAAAGATGAGCATGACCAACGCTTAGATGCAGTATTACAGACAATCAAAGCATCAGGCCTTAAGCTTAACAGGTCCAAGTGCCACTTCGGAAAGAGTGAACTACAATTCTTCGGTCACATCATCAGTGTGGATGGTGTGAAACCCGATGACGGCAAGGTGGAGGCTATTGCTAGGATGCCCAGCCCCACCAATATAGAACAACTCAGGCAGGTACTCGGATTAATAAACTATGTTAGAAAATTCCTGCCGGGCCTGTCCACTGTGCTGCACCCCCTCTCCAATCTTCTCAAGAAAGAGACTGTATGGGCGTGGGGCGAGCCTCAGGAGCAAGCATTCAACAAAGCAAAAGCAATGCTCGTGGCTGCACCAGTGCTTTGTTTTTATGATGCAGGCCGATAAACAGTTGTTAGTGCGGACGCCAGCAGCTATGGCCTGGGTGCTGCACTGTTACAGGACCATGAGGGGGAGTTACGGCCAGTTGCTTTTTGTTCTCGCACGCTCACAGACGTGGAGAAAAGATATTTGCAGATCGAAAAAGAGTGTTTAGCATCTGTCTGGGCCTGCGAACGGTTTGCCCGCTACATCCAAGGCATGGGTCATGTAAGTCTACAAACTGATCATAAGCCCTTGGTGCCTTTGATCAACTCATATGACCTCGATAAAACGCCACTGAGATGTCAGAGACTGCTGATGCGATTCAATGTCACTGCTGAGCATGTTCCCGGTAAACAGTTAGTGGTGGCAGACGCGCTCTCCAGACATCCACTGCACGCATGCTACCCGTCTGAGGCAGACAGCCAGGTCAAGGCATATGTGTGCAACGTAGTGACAAGCAAACCTATCAAGTCACAGAAGTTGGAGGAAATCCGTAGAGCTACATGGAGGGACCCAGAGCTTCAAAAAGTGATCATCTTCATCAGACAAGGGTGGCCTCAGAGGATGGCAAAGAGCTCACCACTGCAAGGCTTGTATGCAGCCAAAAGCCACCTTTCAGAATCCGATCGTCTAGTGCTCTACCACGATCGCATTGTAATTCCCACAGCACTCAGACCCAATGTCCTTGACCAACTACATGAAGGCCACCAAGGACTAACTAAACGTAGGGAGCGCGCAAGATCAACAGTGTGGTGGCCCAACATTGGACTTCAAATAACGCACAAGGTGAGGTCATGCATCTTTTGTAGAGAGCACAGGCCTACACAGCGATGGGAGCCCCTCGTGACTACTCCTCTGCCCAATGGCCCCTGGCAAAAGATTGCAGCTGATCTATGTGAGCTCGAGGGTAAGAACTTTCTTGTCGTCGTTGACTATTTTTCAAGAGACATTGAGATTGCTTCCCTCACCACAACAACCAGCAGACAGGTCATTAACAAGCTGAAACATATGTTTGTTACATGGGGCACCCGTTAGAACTGGTCAGTGATAATGGGACGCAGTTCACATCATCAGAGTTCCAAGACTTCAAACTGAGTTATGGCTTCACCCACACTACATCGAGCCCTCATTACCCCCAGTCAAATGGGGCTGCTGAAAGAGCTGTCCAAACGGCCAAGTACATTCTCAAACAGCCTGACCCCTGCTTAGCCTTAATGAGTTACCGTTCTACACCAATTGCAGCAACCGGTGCAAGCCCAGCTCAACTTATGACAGGACATCAAATCCGCACCACCGTCCCAGTACTTGACAAGTCATTGCTGCCCTGTCCGGTCAATAGGGACACGGTGTGCCAAAGGGATGCTGCAGCTAAGGACTTCTTACAGATTCTTCTACAACCGTAGACATTCAGCTCATCCACTTCCTGAGCTTCCCCCAGGCCAGGATGTTGTAGTGAAGCTTGATGGGGAAAAGGGGTGGACGACTCCAGCAAGGGTCATCTGTAGGTCCAAAGAGCCGAGATCCTACTTGGTGGAGATGGCGAATGGGAACGTGACTCGCCGCAACAGACGACACCTTCAGCCTGTCCCAGGCACCAAGGATCCTGAGGAGCAGCAGCAGAGCACGGTTCCAGCTACACTGACTACTCCAACAAAAGGGGCAGTTGCTGCCCAAGAATCAACAGTAGGGCAGGCATTGCCAGTCCCTGTCCCGGGGTCTCCTTTCCGCCCTACCACACCTGTGAGGGTGACTTCCAGGGGGCGGGAGATTAAATTGCCTCTCAGAGTCAGAGACTGAGGGCTATCTTCTTTCTATGTTCTAAGGGCAGAGGGTAGTCTACCCCTGTGAGGTCCTGCATTCTGACAACACTGTTTTATGTTTAAAGTACCTTTGTTAGAGGGGGAGATGTTGTGAAACCTGTTTATGTGTCCTAGTAAGGCTACCATAGGGGGAGCCACTAGAGGTTGCTAGAACACAGGTGTAGGGTTCTTTTTCTTGGTTAAAATTGTATGTGGACACGTTGCTGTGACTTGACAAGAATAAAGCAGTTTGTGCTTGAGAACGCTGCGTCTTATTGCATGAGATCATGGCAATCACTGTTAAATATATGACTATCTTTTACAATGTATACGTTTTTTTCTTGACTAGCGCTCAGTAATATCACAGTGCTCCTTCATACATCTCTTCTGCAACCTGATAGGGAATTGTTTTAGGTCTGTGCAACTGGGGTAGTTTTTGTAAGTGGATAGGAAATGAATAAATGCTTAGGAAATGATTTAGAAGCCCTCCTTTAGAAAACACCTGTTTGTGGTGCAAAAGTTTGTAGCAAGTTACAGTTTAGTGCAGTTTAGTGCACGTGTCAGATACAAGGCCCCAGACAAACACTCCTCTCACTCAGCGCCAAGTTTACTCAGCTATTTGCCGATGCTGAAGCCCAGAAACGGAGATT